AATGGGGCTTCTATCTTTTAAGTTTATGTTTGAATTTGTTCACAAAGGAGACTGTGCAGGCTGGTCTCATGGTTGTTATTGGCCATGCTAGTCTGTGGTGTCAAGCGAAAGAGTCAATCACATCTTCTAGTGTTCTTGTATAGGTGCCTAATTGTTGGTGAGCATTAGACATTTCCTTAGCAGTACCACAGGTGGCTAGACTAGTCATGCTGAAAACCTATTCTGGAAAGCATTCAAAAGGAACAGTTTGTGTAATTTTGAATTTTATTTATTTATAATTGATTAGCAAGAAGCAATCTTGGAGCTACACTTGCACTTCTAGTTCTCTGGCTTAAGCAGATAATGTTTTAATGTTATCACTGGCAAGTTGTATGCTCACTTTCTTTCATAAATGTTTATTTTATTTTGAAAAAAAATAACATAATAAAGTCAACAGAGCATAATATACTAAAAAGAACCCCAAAGAAATTAACTAATTACAATTCTTAGTCCAGAACTAATATTGTATGCTAGTGGAACATCTACAGTAAAAGAGCCTAAAAAGGAGCTCAATAGGCAAAGAAAATGAAAATACAATTTATAAAAGGAATTTGTGTGTTAATACATGTGTTTTGTGTGTATGGGTGTATTAGTCAGAAAAATATAGGGAACTTTACTTGGTTAAGTCTATCAAACTTTTGATCAAACTTCAAACACAGGAGATACATGTGGTGTCATAATACTCATAGGATTCCTTCCTTGCCACAGTACAGATACACAGTTAGAGTTTCCCAGATGTTAAGTTCTTAGTTGTAGCATTGACCCGACTTTGTTGTAACCTTTTATTTACCACTTTTATTATTTTATTTTATAATCTTACTATCTCATTGTTTTATTACTATTTTATGACACTTTTATGTTATGTTATGGCCTGTGGTTACAACAATAAACTTATTGACTGACATGATTGACACTTGCAGAATAAGTTATACATAGAGTTTTATCAACCCACTATTCTTTAGTTGGTTACTTTGGAGTCTTCTAATTACAGGCTATGCATGACTGCAGCTGCATACAATTGCTTAGAAAGGTTGACCTCATTCTGTGAAAAGAAGCAGAAAAAGCATCAAGTATCTTGAGTGCTTTCTGCTCACTAGGAAATAGACCCTAATCCTTAGTGGTGGAGAGAAACAGTCCTTATGGTGGTCTTCAGTCTTGATCTTCAACTGCTGTTGTAATCCTAGGCTTTCTTTCTCCTACGTATCTGCAATATTTGAACACTGGATGTTCAGTCCTGAGTGGTCACCGTCACTCCTAAATGTCAATACTTCAAACCCTTTATGTCTCATCCCACCAAGTTCTGATGAAGGCTTCAGTAATGAAAGCAATAGTAAAAGTGCTGTTTTACACTTAGTCTGATTAATAACCCCATTTATTAATAACCTCCAACCTGAGCTATTGGAAATCTCTTGGTGCTGAGGTGTTTGTCTCAATTTATTCACATCCTCAGTGGCATGCTGTGCTCCTTGTGGAGTGGTGGGAGTGTACTGTATACTACCTGAATAGAAGACGGTATAGCGCCTGTAGTGCTTTTTGACGTGCTTGAGGAGGGCCCTGGCTGCTGCTGGTCATGTCTAGTAGCTTGGCTGGTGCAGAGATATATAATATGGGTCTGTCAATATTTGGTTCAAGTGTGCGTGAGGAAGATGTCCATGTCTGACTTCAACTGACAAAACTGAGACTGTGGTAGCAGCTGACTGATCTTAACACTACAGAGTGCTGCTCGGCAGCCTTTCTTCCACTTTTTTGATTGCTTGTCCTCTCCATGCCTTAGAGCAGGTAGTGCATTTGTTGATAGGAATCTGTTGTTTGGAGGCAGTTGGCTTGCTGCTGAGAGGATAGGCATGGTGGGTGAATTGCACCGTGTTGAAATGAAAACAGTCCAGAATACTTTCCAGGAAGTGTGTGGCAATCATTGTATAATAAGCAGTAAAACAATCTACCTGTGGCCCATTGGAGCTGCTAGGGATAAGTCAGTGAATTATGAATCCATTCCCTCAGTGTGAGCTGTGTATTATTGGTCTTCTAAATTTATATTCGCTTCAGCTGAGAGACAGCAATACGTATTGGAGGGCTGCCTCTCATTTTCATGCAATTCCAGGGAGACACATTGTTGTAGGAACACAGAATAGAGTGTCCTCACATACCTATGCTGTTTTTATTTGTAGATCTTTGCTGAAATGTTCCCCTCTATCTTATTGCACATGTTGAGAATTCAACTTGTTATCTACTTATTTACTTAGGGCTGTCATTCAGACAAACTGGTACTTTCTTGCTTTTCAAAAGCAAGTGAAAGCCTGGAAGAAGGAAGCAATGCACCTAGGATACTAAGCCTGGGGCAACTGTTGCCACCAGTTTGTTTTCTTGAGCACCCAGGCCTGAAACTATATATTGCCATTCATGTTTCCTAAGTATGCTATGGTATATCTAGTGCAATCTGTCTGACAGATTGGAAAAAAGTGATCTACCTTGGTTTGGATCTCTGATTAAGGTTCCAGGTGTCAACACTATTACCTGAGCAGCTGAATTACCAAGTGGCCTGGTTCTCATCAAATTACTATTGTCTCAGTATTCATGTGCTGGAGACACAGCATCCTGTGTGCTAGGCTGCTTATATGATGTAATATTACATGCTTTAGACTCTCTGCTATTGGCATAACAATAGCATAACATTCAAGGTCTCCTTGTGACATTCCATTCTCCATCTATTTTCTTAGTCACATGGTGCATGCCAGCTCCTTGTAGCATCGAATCGAAAAGGTTGGTCTGAGAATTATGCAGCAGCCAGTGCAAAGTGCTCCTTTACAAAGGCTCAGTAATGCCATTGCTTCTCCTGCCTACTTATGTTATGTAGATTTGAACACTGGCAGCATGTAGTCTTCAGAGGTTTGAGGTCCCAGCTGAGAAGGTCCCTAGACGTATATGAGAAGGGTTGTAATGTGTTTAGTTTGAGCAGGAGTTCAACTCTAATGTGACTATCAGCTTCACCAATGGAATGACTAAGTATGTGAAAGATGATCGAGTAAAGGTGGTATATGTGTGCAGGTGCTTGGTCTCACTACTGCATACGTGGTTAAGATTGTTTGTTTTGCCCACATGTGCATCTTATTGATACTGATTCTCATCTGCCATTTTGTTGCACATTCATCCAGGCTGGAGTGATCATTCTGGAACTTTTTACAAGCTTGCTGAGGTTTCACCATTCTGAATAATTGGATGTTATCCGCAAATTTGCCTGCCTGTTTACTTCCAGCTCCAGACTATTTATGGACAGGTTAAATAGCACTGCTCCAAATATAAATTGGTTGCTTTTCTTGTATTGTGCAAATTCAAAAACTGCTTTCTTTTAATGGTTCTAAGGAGTTTTATAGTTGCTTAAGTTATCAGCTCTTGAGCAGAACCATAGTGACTAAACAATTTGCAGGTCGTGTGTGCTTAGGGGCCTGCTATGAAGCCTACTGGTCTGGGTGTGCAGTGGGGATGGGAGGGTCTGCAACATATTCAAAGGAGAAAGGGATGTATTCCATGCTGCATCTTGTGATATTTCACTACTGTGTCTCTAGCTTGTCTGTATATTTGTGTGTAAACTATCACAAAGTCAGAACATGGCTATGTAGTACAGTCATTGGTATGTAGCCTGATGCATCCATTTGTAGGTACTATTTAAAACCAGCACTGGAGATGCATGATTTCATAGTATTTTCTTTTGAAAAACCCACCCATTTGCCTGGATGTTTCTATCCTTTCTGTGAGTTTTTTGCTTGTTTTTGTATCTGCTAAGCTGATCTGCAGTCTGATCTCCACAGTAAAACATTGTACATTGTCTAGAGTACTCTGCTGTGCAGGCTTCAGTGCCAGTGATGCTGATTTTTTAAAAATTAGAATTTAAATCCCATCTGAGTGAGAGACTGACTAGAATTTACTAGTTATGTAAAGAGAGAAATTGAGAACCTTTGCTAGGTTAAGTTTGCAGGTTTTCATCTTCATCTCTGAATCTGATTAGAGCAGAATATATTGAGAGGCAGAACCAGAGCAAGCCAGTATGCTATTTTGACATTCCAAACAAACAAACAAACAAACAAACAAATAAATGGCATTTTATTTAGTTGCATGAGGATGCCAAATTTTGTATTCAGCAAATGTAATTATTATTGCATTACATTTATATAGCATATAAAATTCAGAGTTGAACTAGCAATGACCTGTCTGTGCATTGTGGGTTGTGCTGAGGAAGTATAGAGCAAGGTAATTCTAAAGTGGGGAAACAAGAAATAGAAAGCTAGTTTTGAATCTGGCATAGCCATTTAGCTGCTTTTTTAAAAAGGAAGTTTTGATTCATACCTTGGGATACAACTTAGAGAAAAGCAGCAGGGGCAGGGGAAGAGTTCTGTCCGCTCCGCCTACTCAGCTCTTTCCACATGAAATTGCCCCCCACCGTCCCTGTTCAGTGCCAAATTAGGGTTTAAAACACAGCTGATGTTTTTGTATCTAATTAATCTTACATTGAGACAGCATATTAGTAAAATAAAGTGCTTCTACTTTTTTTCTTATAAATTTGTAAACTTCTTTCCGTTCCAAATCATAATTTTTCCACATCAATTGATTAGGAGAATGTTATCCTCATCTGTTGTGTACATTTGAGACTTCTACTAATCTGTAAATTCCTAGATTGTGCTAACTTGTATTAATTATAATATTGTCTCCATTGTTGTCTACCTTTGTTCCAAAAAGGAATAGAAAGAGATATCCTTTTGTAAAATAGATCATAAATATCCAGAATTTTATCTGTGTCGGGGGGGATAGAAATAAGTCTATAGACATCCATCTTGTAGGCTTGTACCTTAGTTAATATATCAGAGCCCAGGTACTGATGGCTTAGGATCTGAACTTGACTTCTTACTGTCTTGAGACTTGTAAGAATGCAGAAAATGCTGAATAAGTTGCTGTCTTCTGCCTTGCAGGCACTTCACCAATTGTATTATGACCCCAACATTGAAAACAAGAACCTGGCTCAGAAATGGCTGATGCAAGCCCAGGTGTCACCGCAAGCTTGGCACTTCAGTTGGCTGCTCCTCGATATGGATAAGGTGCCTGAGATTCAGTACTTTGGGGCCAGTGCCCTCCACATCAAGATTTCACGGTACTGGAATGATATCCCAGCTGACCAGTACGAGAGCCTCAAATCACAGCTCTTCAGCCATATAACCCGTTTTGCTAGTGGTTCCAAGATCGTGCTGACCCGGCTTTGTGTGGCACTAGCTTCACTGGCATTAAATATGATGCCAGAAGCCTGGCCATGTGCTGTTGCTGACATGGTGCGCATGTTCCAGGCAGAGGACTCTAATGTAGATGGGAGAGCACGCTGCCTTGCACTCCTAGAGCTGCTGACTGTCCTGCCTGAGGAGTTCCAAACGAGTCGCTTGCCTCAGTACCGCAAGGGGCAAGTGCGTAGCGTCTTGGCACAGGAGTGCAGTTCTGTGTTCTCCCTGCTAGAGCAATTGTTACAGCAGCAAGAATCCCCCAGCTTCATTAAACAGAAGGTGTTGAAGTGCTTCTCTAGCTGGGTACAGCTGGAGATTCCCCTGATGGAGTGTGAGAACTTGATCCAGGCAGCCTTCTCCTCCCTGCAGGATCCGGAACTTTTTGACACAGCTGTGGAGGCCATTGTCAATGCTATTTCTCAGCCTGATGCGCAGAGGTAAGTGCCAGTTTCATATTGTACATCAGCTGTCAAGCAATGTATGTGTCCTGTCATTAACAGACCTTTCATCATCCCTCAGGAGCAACACTTTGAGTCCATCCCTGCTCAAAAATACCTGTCTTACTAATTTTTAAATAATGATCACTGATTCCTATCAGACAAACTACTGAGCAGCAAATATTGACATTCTGCAGCCATAGCTAAACTACAGGATCATCTGTTGGTCATGTTTTAATCTGGTTGATAGGCAAGGATGCTGTACAAGTTCACAGTGTGGCCAGACAGCCCAGCTTTGGGCCTCTGTCATATTAGAATCTTTACTCCTCCCCTCATAAAGATCTCAAGTCTTTCTGTGTTAGTCCATTTGCAGTGGCTGTTGTTTACAGTTCCTTGCCTTGTACAATATAGGAAAAAGCTAAACAATAATGGGGGAATTTAGAGGCCACTGGAGGGAAAAGGAAAAACTCAACCTTTCTTCTGGGAGTTTTACTACTGTACATTCATTCAGTAACTTTCCTGGGCACAGTATGGGAACTGGGTCAGATGGAGGGATGTGTGCAATCACGGGTCCACTTCAGAATATGATTAAGGCTAGTAGGAACAACACTTGATGTTATTTTATTGTTGTGGTTCAGAGGAGGTTAGCATAATGGTCAAACAGGGAAGGTTAGCAAACAGAGCCTGTGATATCCTGTCTCTTGCCTTTATCCTCACTGGCCTCCCACCCTTTCTTGCTCATAGTACAGATGACATGCATGAGGTCCAAGAGCTATATGCTTCGTCCAAAGGCCCATCAGCAAACTGTGTTATTCCAGAAAGTTGTGCAGTGGTTTCTTTTATTCTTAGTCTTACATTGCATCAGATGGCCAAACTGTTCATGTCGACAAATATTATAGGTTTGGAAACATACACTGTGTTCAATGTAGAGAATAGAAAATTACAGGGAACATGATACCAGTTTTCAAGTATCTGAAAGGGTGACAGTAGAAACTACTATTTAGCAGTGCCACTGTTGGAAAGAGATATATTGGATTCAAGTTTCAATAGACTAGACTTGGGCTGGATTTCAGGAAGGTGCTCTTCATAGGAATAAGTGTTGCTTATTAGAACCTCATTCTCTTGAGTTTTTGAGGGGGTAACCAAGTATTGGTTGGGAATGGATTAACCCTCAAATTTGTCTGTGCTTGAATTGTTTTAGATCGTAGTTTTTTCCAATATGTTATTTTTTAGACAGTAGTTGCCAAGTTTGCATTATAAAGTCAAATGTTCTGGCAGAGGAATTGCTTCACCAGTTTTACTCAAGCATATCCAAACATGATGTTTTAATATGATTGAAGAGGACATTTACCAATCAATTTGCTGGTGTTAAATTCTGTTTACTGCTACCATCCACCATGTATTTAAAATCCAGTATGAAAACCAAAAATCACGTGCTTATAATAAGCTAAATCAGCCAACATTGTTACTGTTCCTAATAACTGGATATTGGGAAGTCCAATCCCTACTAACCATTCCTGAAAATACGTGTTGCTGTACTAGCTACAGCAAAGTTAATTCAGATACAAGGTAGACAGAGGAAAAAAGAACAAAAATATTTCACCAGAAATAGAATAAGTAATCTATTTTAAAAAATAATGTCATTACCCTTATTTCCCTTGTATATTTAGAAAACAGTGTATCAAATGCTAAAATACCACAGTACTGATGGTAGGTATGTGCTGGGAGTAAAGTTACATACTTTAGCTTTGGCTTAGAAAATGAATCTACCTTCTGATGCCGTCTCCTGTCACCTCCCCACACCCCCCGTTCCCGCCAAACAAACCAGACTTGTAATATGCAACTGGTTAATCATTATATGGAAATAATTTCAGCTGAATGACAAATCAATTGTTGTAGAGACCTGCCTTTATTTTCATCTACAACCTAAAGTATGATATTGTTTATATTACTGACCCAGCACTAGTTATATTGCAATTCTTATATAAATGATGGGAAGCTGAAATTAAACATGCTGATACATAAGCTACTTTCCTGTATCTCTCTACTACTCCACAGTTACCATATGTTACTCTTTGCTGTAGATTGAGCAGAAATAAGATGATCTGTGTAGTCCAACTATTTTCAGAATAGATAAGACAGAATATTTGCTTCAGAAGATGCTTATTTACCTGAAAGACATATTTTATTATTATTAATTATATTTCTGTACTACCCAATAGCTGAAGCTCTTTGGGTAGTTTACACTGCCACATAGAATACACTAAAAATAAAATAACAATACAATAAAAATACATTAGAAAATTTAATATTCAAGTTTTAAAAACTACAGTGGTTTTGCAAATTAAATTATAAGACCTATTAAACAGTTGACATAATGCCCAATATAGAAACAGTCATAACTGGGTGCCATGAAGTTATTAAAGTAGGTGCCAGGTGGGCTTCAGTGGGGAACTTGTTCTATAATGGACTCTGCCACTGAGAATGCCCTTTGACTTATTGCCATCAACCAAGGCTCCCCTCAGAGGTGACAGTCAGAGATAGGCCCCAGGACTTGATCATAGTATACAGGTACATTGATGTTAGGAGAGGTGTTCTGCCATACATTGTGGTCCTAAGCCATGTAGGGCTTTAAATCAGCACATTGAATTAGGCTTAGAAACAAATAGACAGCCAATCCAAGTGAGTTGACGATTATATGTCCTGGCCTTTTGGTCCTATCTATCTATCTGAGTTATAGTCTTTTTTTTCTTACAATGAACTCAAGGTGGCTTACATAATCCCCCCACCCCTTCTCTCAGTCTTCTTCTCAAACAACAACCCTGTGAGATAAGTTGAGGTGAGAGTCTGTGACTCACCCAAGGTTGGCTCCATGACCAAGAGGGGACTAGAACCCAGATCACCTGAATTGCAGTCCTGCACTCTTGACTAGTATACTACATTGTTTATCTTCCTGTCACGTTTTGTGAAAGCTGCAGCTTTTGAACCATCTTGAATAGCAGCCCCATGTAAAGTGCATCATATCAATCTAGTTCAGAGATTACTAGCATATAGAATACTGAAACTGGGCTAACTCTGTCCAGCTGTGGAGCTGGGCTACCAGGTATAGCAGGTAAAAAGCACTCAACTGAGACCACTTGGGCCTCAAGTGACAAAGATAACTCGGCACCCCAAGCTCTTGCTCCTTTAAAGGGAGTGTTATCCCATCCTAAACAATTTGAACTCCTTCTATCTGGCTAGAAGAACCACACACTAACAGCATCTCAATCTTGTCTGGATTAAGCTTCAGTTAATTAATCTTCATCCAGCATTGTTATAGCTAAGCACTGGTTTAGCACATTCACAGTCTCACTTGATGGAGATGAAAAGAAGAAATAGGGCTATGTGTCATCACCTGTGTGTAGTGTTGGCAATGCTCTCCAGAACTCTATTCATTGTTCCCATGTAGTTGTTAAATAGCTTGGAGGGTATGATCTACCTCTGAGGAACTCTATACTGGAGAGTCCAGGGGGTTTAGCAATGTCCCCCAAGCAGCACCTTTTAGAGCCAGCTATCCAAATGGGAGAGGAACCACTGCAATGCAGTATCCCTTATTCCCAAACTGGACCAGTGTCCCAGAATAATACCATGGTCAATGGTATAGAAAGCTGCTGAGAGATCTAAGAGTACCAACTGAGTAATATACCTCCTGTCTGCCTCCTGGCGTTGGTCATTCTAGGGCATAGGGCAACTAAAACTGTTTCTGTGCCTAAACGAGGCCTAAACTGTGCCTGAAATGGATCCAGATAATCAGTCTCATCCAAGAGTACCTGGAGTAGGTTGACCACCGTTGTTCAAGAACCTTGGCCTGGAAGGGGATATTTACCACCAGGTTAAAATTGAGAAATTCTGGCCCAGAGAAGGTTTCTTCCAGAATGGCCTCACTACTTCCAATTTCAGGTGGCATGAGACTACTCCCTCCCATAAAGAGATATTAATCACCTCTGTGGCCTAGCTGGTTTCCCTTTACTGTTAGCATTTATTTATTTATTTATTATAGCTTTTCTATCCCATCACCTACAGAACATCTCAACTGTACATAACGTCTTTTATTAGCCAAGAGGGACAAGGCTCTAGTATGAACATGATTGTATGAATCTATTCAAACATTTTGTCAACATCCTTGAGCTGTACTAATAGGAACTTATCCAAAAGAACTTGATCAGGCCAGACTCTGGACATCGCAGCTGGTTCAGCTGTGATAACACTGGTATCTTACTCTTGGTGGATACAAGAAGTTTTATCCTGGAGGTGCCTAGCAAATACAATGCATTTTTGCAGCTGAAAAAAAAACACAAACCCATAGTATGTCTTGCTACATGCATTGGGGCAGTGACATGGTGACAGACCCACTGTTGTCATGGAGTCCATGACCAGCACCTGGGGCACCTCAACATTGCAACTGAGAACCTCTTTCAGTTCAGCTAGGGAGACTATTGTGTTTTGGGGTAGACAGTTTTGCAGCAGAATCTGCAGTCTGTCCCACTAGCCTAGCACAAGATACAAACACTGTAAACAAGGAATCAGATGCAGAGGGAACCTGGAGAGTGGTAAATTCCTATAGACCACAGGAACCTCCCTTCCCTGGCTCTCAATTCATCCTTAATGCTGTATCAAGTACCTTGGTGGGTATACCTGGTAGAGACTAACTCTTCCTTGTTCATCCACCCAAGCCTTGTTTATCTATGCCAGATAGGCCATGGAAGATGATGGTGGTGGTGGTGGTGGTTTTATTTCTATACTGCCCAGTAGCCAAAGCTCTCTGGACAGTTTACAACAATACATAAAGTAAAATATAAAGTACAGCCATCAAGAAAACAACATGGAAGTTACTGTACAAAATTTAAAAAACAAAATTTAAAACAAATGTGAAAAACTATAATAGCGTATACAAATTAAATCAGAAGAGGTTTTATTGTGCACCAATCTGACATTTAAAAGCCAAACTTGCAGACTCAAAA